GAGAGAGAGAGAGAGAGAGAGAGAGAGAGAGAGAGAGAGAGAGAGAGAGAGAGAGAGAGAGAGAGAGAGAGAGATGGACGAGGAGTAACTCAACACTGCCACTAGTGCCACGAGGCAGGGTAAGGAGAGGGAGGGAGGGGGAGAGGGAGACAGGTTGGGGTCGGGACTGTGTGGCACACGCAACAGAAACAGGCGCCTCCACGGCGTGCACCCAAGCGCAGGCAAGAGAGAGAGAGAGAGAGAGAGAGAGAGAGAGAGAGAGAGAGAGAGAGAGAGAGAGAGAGAGAGAGAGAGAGAGAGAGAGAGAGAGAAGGGGGGAAGTGGGCGGCGCTGGGCGGGTGTCAGCCCACACATAAACAAGCAACAGACGGACATGGACGAGAACTCAATCCGATAGTGCATGCATCTGACAAAAAACATCAAATATGTACATTCGTTGTCGGGGAGCGTTCTGTCTGGGGCGTGTGTGTGTGTGTGTGTGTGTGTGTGTGTGTGTGTGTGTGTGTGTGTGTGTGTGAGAGAGAGAGAGAGAGAGAGAGAGAGAGAGAGAGAGAGAGGGAGGTCCACATGGACTAGGCGTAAAGCCGCGTAATCCAGCACTGCCACGTGGCAGTGTAAAGAGAGGGAGGGAGGGGGAGAGGGAGACAGGTTGGGGTCGGGAGTGTGTGGCAAGCGCGATAGAACTAGGCGCCTCCAGCGTCGTGGACGCAAGCGCTCACATGTTCTAGCGGAAGATTTAGATGCACATTTAGATGGCCACTACACAACGGGCCTCCCTACCCTCGACCTGCACAAAAGACAAAAATCATGGTGGTTTATCTTTCCATGTTCTAGCGGAAGATTCACTCTTGTTTTGCACATGTCGAAAGTAGTGGACCTGCACACAGTACCTGTTTCAAGAACGTATTGATGACCAGATACACAAGATACACTAACATCCCCATGCATTTAGAACACTGGATCAATGGGAGTGTATCTGGTCGTCACAAAGGTCCAGATAAAGGCGGAGCGTTGCGTAATGGAAACTCTCTCTCTCTCTCTCTCTCTCTCTCTCTCTCTCTCTCTCTCTCTCTCTCTCTCTCTCTCTTTCTTTTTTTTT